TGCTCTTCCAGCACTTCCAGCCCAACATGCCCACAACCGGGTTCACACATGTTCTCTCCCTTATCACTCCCCATTCTTGAGCCTCAATGTCCGTTAACAGTACCACCATCCTTCCAGTCATCTTGGCTCAACCTAATTTGTCATCTTTGACTGACTACTCTCCTCATTCAAACATTTGCTGAATCCTATTTCTTTTTTTTTTTTGCATAATAAATATAATTTTGTTGCTTTTCTCTGATTAGACAAGTCATATATGTTCAATGTAATGATTTCAAACATACAGAAAAGAGGGTAAAAATCACATGGAAACCCACTTAACTACAATGTTCATCATTAATAATTAATAATAATAATCATTGTTTTGTGAATCCTTTATTATAGATAGAAAAGGATAGATAGATGATGGCTAGCTAGCTAAATGAGTTTACAAAAATAGGATAATATACTAATTAAATCTTTAAAGGTAAAAAACATCAAAAGAGTTGCAAAAATTGTGAGTTAATTTAAATTTGTATGATGAACAATTTCAGCTCTCAATTTTGTCAGTATGACCTCTATGAAGGCATAACCTCATGTGGAAAAATGAAGAGTGTCTATTTTAGGTTTTTTTTGTGAATTTGAAGCCTGGACCAAACGGTATTCATGTGGAAACTCTGCAACTGGGACCTTGTGTTATTTCTCTTTGTATGCTCCATGGAGACTCTCACGGTATATGTAGAATAATGTTTTGCTCTATGAATGCCCAATGGCTTCAACAAATACCTTTTTAAATCTACTATATACAAGTCACTATTGAGGGATACACAAATAGGTAAGACATTGCCCTTGCTTTAGAGGAAATCTATATCCATGATTTTTCAAAAAACACTGGGACTATAATCTCCCTAACCTTCGCTCCCTACCACCTATCCTTACGCCTGTGAAAGGCTCATTTTGGTTCTCTCTGGGTTTTGTGTAGGACCTGAAGTTCCCAGCCTTGCTCCCAACATGCCCTCTGAAATATTAGAGGGGATGCAAAAAGGAAAGGAGATCTGAGAGGACCGATTGAGTAGAAATCAAAGTTGTTTATTTTTTGAAAACACATTTTGTAGGTGATGGCTCTTGATCCCTGTGGGATGGCCACTGTTGGATCCCTCAAACATTACAAGAACTCATCTTGGACCTGTCATGATTTTGGCTATCATCTGCTATCTTCTCTTCAAAGGACACCACTATTCTCAATCAGCTTCTGTCTGAACTCAGTCATATTTCTAAGCTCAGAGTGGTGGGACACCGTCCACGTGAGAGCACCATGGAAGACTTAAAAGCATTGTGTGGATCTTTCAAAATAATCTAATGTATATTCCTAGTAGATGTCCAGGGCAAAATATGCTCGTTTGTCACATGTGAGGGAGCAGTGAAATTTACTGGATTCACTGGACTGAAAGGAAGACTCCTTGGGGCCATCACATTCTATTGACCTCAATTACTACAAAAACAATCTGAGAAGGAAGGTACACTGGGTCTCCACTTGAAGATTACAGTCACTTTCATTAACTCTTTGCAAGTACTTTTCAAAATGTTTAAGATTATACGTAAGCAATGTACGGCATAAAAGCCTTAGAGAAAATGCCAGTTGGGGAAAATGTCAGTCAGTTTCAAGAGCAGATATGCAGCACTTCTCTCTGGGGAAGTGGCCCATTAAGCTGCCTGCTGCTGAATCGGATGTGACAAAAAAAGCCCATTCAGCCTGGTTTACTTTGGTTTGAGAGTCAGCCACCTGAGTGGCAGTGGCTGGTCTTTCTGGGTCTGCTGTTGCTTCTACTCTAGTGACTGTTGGACCTGACTGGACTCATGGATCTCTGTGGCTCTGCTGTACACACACGTGCCTCTTAACAGCCTGGGCGCAGCTGACCTACAGCATCCTGGTAATTTGTGTTTTAAAACTGCACACCTACCTGCACAGGTGTAAAATCAGCACTAAGCAAAATAAAGCTTCCCCCCGGAACCTCTGTGTTCTGCGCTCTCCCACAGAAGACTAAACATTGCGGCGCAGATCCATTTGTTATACCGTCCGTGGTGTCTCTGGGGGTGACAGCCACATTCATCAAAGCTCCAGTCCCTCGAAAGGGATGATGTTCAGGAACTATCTGAGCCGCTATCCGAGAACTCATCCTTGCCTTATGGCTTTTCTAAAACTTAATAAAAATCCTCTTTTCAATCAGACTCTTCCAAAGAATACAGACCTCATTTCTCCAACTTCTTGGAGAAGCCAGAGCAAACATCAACTACTATAATTTCTATATCTCAGCTTCAAGTGCCTCAAAAATGCTCTTTCACTCAGTGTCACGCTGCTGATTTCCTTTCAGATTTGCCCACGCAAGGATTTTACTCAAGACAGATTCTGCTCTTTGTTTGTACTCTGAGTCACATACCTTTGGAGCCTTTGAGCTTGCAGGGATGTTAGATCTCCTTACCTCTTTGAAAGTGAAGAAACGAAAGCGAGAAGAGAAGGGCATCCTTGTTGTACTCAAGTAGCTGGCACGTTCAAGACAGAGATGACCTGCACATGAAAGCAGAAGACATACAACAGAACACAGAATTAAACGTGTTTATTTTCTGCTAATGACATAATACCTATAATACCCTTATAATAATCTTAACTTGCTCAACAGTTTAGACCTTAATGTAACACTTTTACATAAATTGTTTTAACCCTCACAACCACTCTGGATGCAAGTTTTTTATTTTCTTCCTTAAACGAATGACAAAATGAGTACTCAGATTGGCCGAAAGACCAAGGTCATGTCTTTGGTTCTGAACAGGGGCCCAAGTCCAAAGGTTCAGACCCCCAGGTCGGAATGCATTACAAAACGACTCTATGCCATCAGTGAGCAGCAGTCAGCACAAACCAACTTGAAAATCTAAATAGATCTGCTTTTTCCATTGGTCTGAAATTTTCCAAACTTAGGCTCTGACCGGCAAAATTGTCCTGCTGTCCCTGGAGGTGAGTCTGAAGCCACTTCCGTAAGATGACAACAGCATCTGTCAGCATAAGCAGAATGGGTGACATCACCAACTCAGTTTCTTTGGGCCCTAAGCTGGTTTGCTCCCAACAGGTCCATCCTCAGGAATATTAAAGTCATTTGACTACTTCTTCCCAAAGAGAGATTCGTACTGGGCACATTTGTTCAAAGAAAACCGTTGCCCTTGTGTCTGTGGTCCTGGGATTAATTATGCCAGAGGGTTTTCTTTTTATTGTCTCCTTTTCCATATTTAATGGAGCTAGGAAAAATAAAACTCATTTTCCCTCCTTCCCATGCTAAAATCCTTACCATATAAGACAGGATAACAAAAGACACAGTGTCCAGGAAGATGTGGGATTCTTTTGCAGAAGACCTTTTGAGTTTCCCTGACACAGACTTCTTCCCTTCCCTCTCCTTCTCAGCAATTCCTCTTTCAAACGAGTTCTTTAGGTCATGGGGTCCACAGTTTGGTAGAAGTGAAATGAAAACAGTAAGTCTTCCTTTTTCTTCTTTCTCTGACTTCTTTATTTGCATAAATTAAAACCTATTTTAAACTGGCTTGTTTCCTTTGGCATGAAAATAAGTTCTTCAAGTGCTCAGTAAATGCCCAGTCATCTCATCCTGTCTCCTGCTTTCTTTTTTGTCCCTCAACTTCTCATGGCTATCTCTTGTCAGACTGGTATAATGTTTTTCTGTAAAACTTGAATCGGTAACCTTGGAAAGTCTGAATTGCATCCAAAAGGAATTCATTACTGAGTGGGGGTGACTTTGACTTTCATGAAAATGAATGCTCCGAAACCATCAGCTTTGGAAAATCATTCATTACACTTTTTTTTTTTTTTTGGTGGTGGGGTGGATAAAGTGCCTTTCATAAAAGCACCTCTTGGATGAGTATCCTGTGTGACCTATCTCTTATAAAAGAAAATGTTAGGACAGTCAGCTATTTGGAAACACTGTACGTGCAAGCTTTTATGCTGACTTTCAGTGAGAACAAGATGAATCATGAATACTTAAATTTTTTTCCCCGTGGTTCTGCTTAAATCCTACTTTAATTGTTTCAGAGTATGCACCTGGGGGACACTGTATACAATATGAGTTTGGGAGCTGGGGTCCAAGAATGGTCCAGCTTCATGGCCAGTGGGAATGCTGGTCCCTGGAATTTTCATCTCGGTCCTCTCTTGTCTCATTATTTGGGCAGATACTTTCATGTCTCTCTTTCTCTCCAGGCAAAAGAATCCATACCACTAACTCCAGTATTTTGTAGGCTAACAAAAGTTATGAGATTTTTTCCCCCTTAATTTAGAAAAATAACATAAAAGAACAGAGTATAAGATTCATGCATCTAAGACCCAGATTTTAAAAATTTAATATGTTGTCACATTTGCTTCAGAATTTTTTACATTAAATACATAAATAAATTAGGGATTAAGTGAAATCCACTTTGTAAGCTTACTCAATGGTATTCTTTCTCCCTCCCTAGAGGCACACACTCATAAATTTGAGATATATTCTCCCAACCCATGCTTTTATATCTTTATTACCTAATTTTAAACATTTTGTAGTATTCCAAGCCAATAGTTCTGTTTGCCCACCTGATCATTGCTGTCCCCTCTTCCCTTCCATCAGGACCCTGGACTTGTCCAGGAAGCAGTGCCCAAGAAGTCTGTTCAGTCCCCTCCCAGGCTTTAGTGCCACTAGAATGGAGGGGTGGGTAGGTAAGGGTGTGACCTAGTTTGGGTCAAGGATGTAGAAGCAGAAGTTCAGACGATGAGGTTTCTGGAAAACCATTGTTTTCTTGGTAAGAAGGGGTAGATTCATACTCAGATTCAGACTCATCTCTTATCCTCCCTCTCTTTGGACCTGAAGTGTGGATGCAATGTGTGATGTGGGAGCTCTCACCTTGTAATCTTGAGAATAAAAGAGAGAAAGATAGAATGAGCATTGGGGAAGGATCCCTGGTTGCAGGTGTAAGCCTCCCTGAAAACAACTTTTCCAGTTCTCTAGCTAGCAGAGATGGACTAACGAAACATATTTACATGTTCTATATCCTATCCCCTTTCTGGACTACCAGATCTGGTTAATTGAACATATGTCCCATCCCTCACTTTGTGGGAACTGACTGATGGCTTTTTGGAGCCACTTTCATCTGGATCACCCTCAGCTGAACTCTTATAGGACAAAATTATAAACCTCCATATGATTAAGCCACTGTTGTTAAATTTCTTTAAAAGCAGTCAAACACAATCCTACCTTTCTAAGACTTTTATAGAAATGGTGGTACCCTAACAAGCTGTTCTACAACTTGTTTTTTCATTCAAATTATGTTTCACCTCTATCCACCTTGATGCATATCTAGTTCACTTCCTTTAAATTTATTTTCTCCATTCATTTCTTCTTTATGGGCCTTTAGATTGTGTCTAAATTTTCACCATTACCAATAATATTGTTTGCATAGCCCCGTAGACTCACATGCCCAGGAGTTTTTCTAGGATGTATGTTAGATGCAGAGCCTGAAGGATCTTTTTGAGATTCTTAATTTAGGTCTAAGTGACATTTTGAAAATAGATTTTTTTGTGTGAATTTAGAGGTAGTGGGTAGTGGCAGTCACCAGGACCCTTTAAACTATACAATGTCACATTTCCTTATTTTCTTACCATATTTGTTGAGCTTCCAACAAAAGTGAAAACTAAAATCTGAAAGGAACTATTTAGAAACAGCAGCAACTAAGTAAGAAAGATTTTGGTTTTCACCAGCTCTATGATAGTTTCTTCTGTTACTCCCCTTTCGGCCATGAAACTCTACACCAGGATTTTTCAATTACAGCACTACTGACATGTGGGGCTAGACCGTTTTTTGTTGTGGAGCCTGTCCTGTTTACTGTGGGATGTTTAGCAGCCTCTCTGGCCTCTACCCACTAGATGCCATTGGCACACCCTTCCCTAGTTGTAACAACCAAAGGTTGCCAAATGTCCCCTGGGGAGAGAGGCAAAATCACCCAGTTGAGAACTACTGCTCTATAGTAGCTAATCTTTGGGTATTTAGGATGAATGAATATGAACAGAGAATCCCATGGAGGAATAGGCAGACCATGCAGTTTTTTTTAAATGGCCATTTTAAGTCCATTTAAGAAGTTTACTAAGCATTCAGTTTCAGTAAACCTATATTTCTAACCCTTAAGTTGGAGAAATTACTTTTGGATACTTACAAAACCTTTGTAAAATAAAAATATAAGAAATAATCATAATTATAATAGTAGTAATAATAATAATAGCATTTATACTGCATTGAAAATCTTCCTAAATATATTACTATGCCTGTTTGTTTAACCCTCACAACCTACTTGGGAATATAGGTACTATTTTTATACCCATTTCACAGATAAGAAAATGGAGGTACAAAAAGGTTAAGACTTGTTCATCACATAGATTCTCTTTAATTCTCACAACAAGCCTTCGAGGTACATGTGATTATCACCAATTTTTAGATGAACAAACTGAAACAGAGATTAAGAAACCTAGCAAAGATTCCATATCATTAAACTCTGAGGTGATGTTTGGTGTGGATTAAGATGGTTATACCCATGAACATGATACAAATTAAAACTGGTATTTACTGTCAAAGTTATTTAGCATTAAGGACATGGATCCCTTAAGAGGACTTTAGTTACCTCTTCTGTAAACATAGAAAAATTAGATTTTATAATTTGTAATAGAAAATGATATTTATGCTTAAGTTTAAAATGTTTAGCTTTCTTTCATTTTCTCTTTCCTCCCTAACCCCCACAGTCTTTCTAGCAAGGATTTAGGTAAGACAGCTAATCAGATCTATAAAGTTAAGTAAACATAATAAAATGTGTTACAGGAGCATAAAATGGACTTAGAAATGATGAGAAAACACTTACTCTATAGACCCATACACTGCTATGAGAAGGCTGTAAATGAGAATTTTGCTCTTTCTTTGCCAGTATGAAAAGGGAAATGTGGTCAATCACACAGTTCCCAGGGCTCATTAAATAAAAAATAGACCCATTACTCAGAAGAAGTACCACTGTTCTTGGCACTAGAATCAGACAGGAATTTCTTCCATTACACCTGACAAAGTTGCATGGTACACAGGGCTTTGAAAGCATCCTCGACAGCTTTCAAACAATAAACCCAGTGATGAGTTTCAGAAATTTGGGTGGGTTGTAAGCCCAATTCAGGGAAAGCAAGATTATCACTTGTGAGTTGTCCTTTTCATCCTGATTGTAATTTGGTTCTCTTACAAATACTTCTAAAGTCATAAAAGTATCAAATTACACAAGAATTTTATATACTAATCCTGATCGTACTGGTTTTTTCTGATTCTTTGGGCTCTCCACTGTTCTCCATTTGACACTCCCTTTATAAATCATTAGACAAATTTATTTATTTTTAAAAGACTTCCTTTTTTTAGATTTTTGAAAATTCTTGATTGTGCCTGTTCTTCAAAACTACTTTATTGAGCCATCGTGGGGTCACTGTGGTTTATGCTACTAACTTAATAGCGATTTATGTAA